ACGCTTGCTTTACTTTTCAATGCTTTGAAAAAATCCTGGATGGGTACCAGATTGCTAGAATTTGGAAGAATTAGGCTTGTGATCAACCAGTCAGATGTCCCTGTGGAATTGGAGTCTTCACCCGAAGATCGGAGTTGTCTTTCCACTGTTTGCTATCTAAGGTTACATTCTTTATACTAAGTATGTTATATATTGAGCATTATCTATTGATATTACCCTTATTTGTAGCTATATGTGATATTTGACTTTTTGGGCTCACATATGGTGTGTATCTGGTTTTGTTCTTAAAACCGAGTGCTACAAAACCAGAAGCGATACAATTCTCTGATTGTCGTATGGGGCTCGGCGTAAATATATTAAAGTATACCACGGTATTAGCTATTTCTTTCACGCGAAAATCAACTGGTTGAAACTGATATGTATACCACGGTCTTCCAGAAGGGAAATGTAACATATTGTAGGTATTTAAGAGGCATATCTCTAGAAATAGTTAGATAAAAAAATATTCTAATATAATTTTTTACATATGAATTAGGATAAAGACGGACTTTATATAAAAATTATAGTGCTCAACACGATCCAGAACTTTGTAGTTGATAAATGTTGTATTTGAATCTGGTTTGAGTTCTAAAATATTGTTTTAACTTCTTATATCTTGAAATTTGGAATTTTCAAACAACCTCGGAAGTTTCCATGACATATACCAAACCCGTAGTTTTTAATACAATCTATAACATTGTAGTTGAAATATTTTTTATTTGAAGTTGTTTGCCATCTGAAATATGTGTTTTAAGTTCATTGATTTAGGAATTCAAAAGTTAGAATTTTCAAACCACCTTGAATATATTTACATGGTTAATACCAAAGTTGTAGTAAGGCCAACCCAATCTACAAGTTTGTTGTTGATAAGTTTTTTATTTGAAGTTGTTTAGAGTGTCAAATATTTGTTTTAAATTCAAATATTTTTGAGATTCATATTTTTAAAAGACCTTTCTGCAGTAGTGTATAGAGATGTATTTTTAATTTTCCTGGAAAATGTAGTAAACATTGTCATGTAGTCACGCTATATATACGGGATATCTTCTTCTTTTGGTCTAGCTTTTTTTATATAAAAAAAAGAAATACGTAAATAACCAAAGTCATATGTATCTCTAACATACATATGCGCAAACTAATATTTCATTTGCAACGACCATGCCTCACGCAATCGCGTACATATGCCAGTCACTCTGGTACATACATGTATGTATATAGTAGCTTGCTTAATTGCAAAACAACACCACGAAGTTCTTGATGGAGACCGTGTCCAGTCCAGGGAGGAAAAAAATTAATGTTGACCTGAAAAATCTGTAGGTGAATACGCGTACTGAGAGTTGCCATAATTTGTCTCTTGAGTATTTCTGGACACCCTGAAAGTGCCAGCAGCCTACTTCCAGCTAGTACTCATACAGTCATACTAATATAAGCTGGTGACGACGACGGCGAGTCGGCGAGAACGAGAGCCTTCCGGCCGGCCGGCTGCAGCCCGCAGGGTAAGCAAGCAATCACCGGCGTCACTACTCACTACGACTGACGACGACCGTGGATTCGTTCGTACGTACGAGGATGAACGACGTTTCTAGCCTGACCAAAAACGCGTTTGTTTTTACATTCCATCCACGCGTCGCCCCGTAGCACACCGGCTGGAGCAGGACGCGATAGTCGCCCGTTGTTTCCGTAATACTTTTTCAGTTAATAAATAATATTTTTTTATAATAAATTACCTAATAATACTTTCAGCAGCGAACAGGAGCCGTATGCGAGCGACACGACAGCGCGGCAACCGGCCGGGCAAAGAGTACATCCGTCCAAACCGACCACCGGTAAAGATGAGAAGGTTACAACGAACGAACGGCGTCATGATGGGATGTCTTAGTCCTATTTTTTTTAATTTGATCTTTTTTAAGAAAATTTAAGTTTGACTTGAAAGAGAGTTAAACTTATCTTTGGATCCTGGGGTCGATGCCAGGACTCATGGCTCCGATGTAACACGTCTCGACGTCATAGATCTTGGCTTCAAGTACCTGGCCGTGCACAGCAGGGTATCCTAGGTAGCGTTGACGTGGCCGGTACCTTGAAGCCACAGATCTTGGCTCCGAGCTCGGAGCTACAGGTCTTGGCTCCGAGCTTGGAGCCATGGATCCTAGCGTTGAGCATGGATTCAAAACCCACGGCCAAGTTTTCCTTGTCGAGGCTGCTTTTATTTTTTCCTCCTCCCTCTTGGGTTCTTTCTCTCCCTGACCCGTCCAATCTCTTGAATCGACGAATTTGACCTTTGATACTTAGATTTGATCCATACATCTTCGCGAGCAAGGTATCCTCTCTCCCCTTATCATTTTTTTACGCATTGATTTGATATATATTACGTCTATTTTGTAACCCTAGATACGTTATTATCTAATATTTAAAGTGATTTTTTATTTTTTTTATTATGTAACGGTAGGATGTTAAAGTATGGTAAAGCTAGTAAGTAAGTCATTTTAGATTTTCAGGCAGAGGAAGGCTGCAGGCTGCAGGAGAGATGGCGCCATCACGGCCGGGCCCGGGGTCCGGCCGGGGACGTGACGACGTGTGCTGGCTCCCTGAAACAAGGCCCGGCCTCCCGCTCGCGAAGATCATGACAAAAAATAAAGTCGATATAATTTAGAAAAAAAAATACCCCACTCCATGTGTGTATACACATATAATATTTTTTAAAAAATATGCGTGTATATGTACATACTGTACTACGTACCCATCAATGTCGGCATTTTGATGGCTGATAAGTCACCTACCGCGCGCGTCGCCCTCTGTCTCGAGCGACGACGGTGGCATTGCTTGACGTGGAGCAAATTGTAATTTGTATATATGCGCAGCTGTCGGGCTCTTAATTTCTCCCCGGTTTTGACCTGTGCGTGACGAAAACGTGACACGCTCTCGTCGCTGATCAATCGGACACTACTGGACGTACGCGCGCGCGCGGGGGAAGGGCCACCGTCGGTGAAGGCGCGCGCGCGGCACGTACTTACTACACACATGGCTGGCGGCGGCGCGGCACCGGGAGAAAACGGCCGCGTCCGGTTCGGCGGTTGGTACGTGGGAGCTGCTGCGCTGTATGTGTAGTATGTGCGGCGATGGAGACGCCGACGGCCGCGGGAGTAGCACACGTCGTCACGTCCCCGGCCGGACCCGGGCCCGGCCTTGATGGCGCCATCTCTCCTGCAACATGTAGCGGCCTGTTCGCTGGTCGGTACTGGTGCTGGTTTAGGCTGGTTAGTGCTGATTTTTTTTAGAGGAAAACATTGTTGGCTAGTTGATTTGGGCTGACTGAAACCAACAAGCGAACAGTCTGGATAAAGATTTCCGGGCCCTGTGTGTCATAGATGGGGCGGGTTACGGAGAGGAAGAACCTGAGAGAGAGGAGGAAGAAATAAAAGCCTTATCGTGGGTTTTGAATCCATGCTCGGCGCCAGGATCTATGGCTCCGAGTTCGGAGCCGAGATCCACGGCTCCGAGCTCGGAGTCAAGATCTGTGGCTTCGAGGTACCGGCCACGTCAACGCCACCTATGATGCCCTGCTATGCATGGCTAGACACATCGGAATCAAGAACTGTGGCGCCGAGACGTGTTACCTCGGAGCCATGAGTCCTGGCGTCGACCCACAAGGTCTAAAGATAAGTTTACGTCTCCCATAGAACTAAACTTAAATTTTCTTTTAAAAATAGACCAAATTATAAAAAATTGGGATGTCTCGTTGGCGTCGCTAATAATACCCGAACCTTCGTGCATCTGCAGATTTTGGATTAAAACAGTGTCGATGCTGGATCTGGGTATGCGTGTGGCAGTAGTTATCGTACTAGATAGATATAGCAGCGCCAGCTCTGAAATATCTGGGAACGCGACGGTTACACACGAAACTAATTAAGAGCTAAAAAACAGACCGCAGTGCTGCACTATTGCTAGTCTGCTACTTGACGGCCAAGTTTATCAGTGCAAGGGTGACATGATGAAAATGACTTGGTGGCCGTGACAGCGAGTGCCGTGGTATGATGACATTGACACGAGAGAATGCAATACCTCGGAAAGTGGCTCTAAAATATTCAACTAATCACTCGATCGAATGAATTGGCAAACTAACCGGTTTGACTCTAGACTACCGACTTTACCTAAGCTAGCACACGGAAGCAAACATGCAAAATTCCAGAGAAACAATAATAAAGAAGTGATAAAGTACACCTATTGAGATAGATGTGACATGTGAGAGCAGGATTGATAATAAAGCCAAGTGCTAGGCTATAAGAGTCGAGTTATACAATAATTATCTCTTATTTATCTTTAAAAAAATTCTTTCTTATTCGTCATCACATATACTTGAGCCCACTACTGCATGGCCAGTTTGTTGCTTACACGAGACCAAGCTCTCCTCATTCTTCCCTCTTTTCTTCTTTACATTAGCATTTACTTGCTATAAACCAATTATTTCATAGATTGAACACAAAAAAAAAAAAATTGAACTCATCACTACACTCACTGAGGAACCGAAATGGATAAGGCGAGTAGATTAGATGAATGAAACTGAAAGGTAGAAAAGCTAACAGCCTAACACAGGGCAGGCCAATTTGCAAATGGGAAACCAATCATGTGAAGCTACGTGCATGGCATGCCCGGTCAACTCGATTGACTGACCGCATTGCTCGTTCTGTTAGTTTTTCAACGAAGAAACAATATTTTTCTCTTATAATAAATTAATCAATAATATTTTTAATTATGGTTTATCAGGGTCTATGACCAACTTCTGTCCCTACATATACTCCTACTACTCGTGCATCGTCGGTCCGCCCAAGGCCACACCATTATCGTCCAACAAGCACCGTAGCCTCTTGTTCTCTACGGCAGCAGAGCAGAGCAGGGGCAGCGCGAGGCAGAAACAGAATAATCCTATCATACCGAGCAGAGCTGGGGCTGGTCTGAGGCTCCCGAGGATGACGACGGCGTGGTGGTGGTTCGTCGCCATGAACGCGGTCGTCGTGGCTATCGCCGTGCTGTCCACCTCCTGCGCACGGCCACGGCCATCTCTTCCACCGACGCCACGCCACCGCGCCTCCGTGGTCACGCGCAGGGCCTCCTCGGCGTCGGTGGTGCTGCAGAGCCTCCTCTCTTTCTCCATCTTCTCCTTCCCGTCGGCATCCCTGTCGTCGTACCTCCACCCCGACGCCGCCGCTGCCGCTGCAACCACCGACCAAGAAACAGAAACAGAGGAGCTGGTGGCGCGGTCACCACCGCCCATCAAGCCGTCACCGTCGGCGTCACCGCGCGCGCTCCAGCTCACGCCGCCGCCGCCCCCGCCGGCGGATGACGAGGAGGAGGAAGAGGAGGAGGACCCGAACGCGATGAGCATGGACGAGGCTTACGCGCTGGTCCTGGGTTCGCAGCAGCGGCCGGAGCGGGAGAGGGAGGAGGAGGCCAGGAGGTCGGAGGTGGACGCCAAGGCGGAGGAGTTCATCCGGAGGTTCAAGGAGGAGCTGCGGCAGCAGCGGCTCGACTCCATCTCCAACTACACGCAGATGCTCAGACGGCGTGTGCCCGCCTCCAGGCCGCCGCCGGCCAGGATTCCCCGGCCAGATCGCTGATGATTAGCTCTGCCTCTGACTCATGTGTTCAATTCGTTTAGGGCCCGTTCGTTTAGTCTAATTCCCGGCTGGAACACTTCCTGATGACGGTTGGCAGTATAAAATAGAGTAACCTTCCTGGCCGGATCGGTTCCGGCCCTGGATTCCCTACGAAACGAACGTGCCCTTAGAGTGTTGGTCAGCTTTTTGAGGGGCGACTAATGATTATCACCATGTTCGTTTACGCTGGAATTTGACTTAGACTGATATTTATGCTAAAATGTTGTGAGAGAAATACATTGTTTCATGACTGAAAAGTAGCTCAAGCGAACAAGGTGTATGTGTTTGATTTTGGTGTTTTGTACATAAGCTTGCTTAGCATATGCATAGAGGAGAGTCTGCAGGTGTATAGTACAGTACGTAGTAGCTTGAACAGATCATTTGTTAGTCTTTTTTCTTTGTATAAATCCTTTGTAAAAAATCAAGGCCTATATATATCTTGGAATCACTCACATATGCATTTCTTTCCTACTGTACTCACTAACACTAAGGTTGTACGTGTCAACTCCTACTAGTAGGCTGTGTGGCATATACAGGCCTAGTCCAAATAAAAGCAACTACTAGTTTGTATTATATATAAAAAGACCTATCCTATCAGTTGTGCGCTACGTGCTCTACTTCTCAATCCGTAAATCCATTCGTTCGTCCCTCGGTTGGAAATCATGTCGAAAGTGCGAGTCTGCTCGTCCTCTCACCGCCACCGACGGAGAAGTCTGCTTCTCAAATCTCAAATTGTTATTGTTTCTGCCGGTGGGTGATGCCAGGTGTTGAGAGAGAATTTTTCTGCAGTGAATTTAGTCAAAACTATATTAAAAAATAAAAGGGGTGGCAGTCTTTTAACGATTGTCTTGTCACGTTCGTAAGAGAGACCTTTTCCAAAAAGTAGTTGGTGATCTTATTTGATGTCAAACTTCTTCTATGCATATTTCAAAATATTATTAGTATAGTGTTACGACTGTTTGTATTGTAATTTATGCAAGCTTCGAATTTGATATTTGAATTTAAGGCAGGTTTGGTTGGCGGACTGAGAAGTTATCTAGGCTGAGCAACCACTCCCAGGTGTTGGATTTCACCAACCTAGCGTGGAGATGCCTGCTTGGCTATTTCTCTGCCCGGGAGGTAGTAACCAAACAGGCCCTAAGACTTACTATTTTATCTAGTATCATAGAAAAATCTTAGGTCTACCACTGACAAGCGATGTGCTAACTCTAATACTAATGATTAAGAAAGCATCAAAACAAAGTTGAAGCAAACATAAAAAAATCTAAACAAGAAAGAAGCAAAACAATGGCTCATTGAAAAGCCCGACACTACTACACAAATGTCTTTTAGGGGAGCCAACAATTTTTATTTAGACTCGGTGGGCATAAAAAACCATCTCCAATAATTTCTATTTGGTATTATGGTAAATGGAGAAGAAAGCTCTTACTTTAAGCCAGGAAAAGGCTTGAGGCAAGGAGACCCCTTATCTTCTTTTATTTTCAACTTAGTAGGAGATGGGCTATATAGGATGCTTAGGAAAGTTGTAGATAGAGGGATAGCGACAGGTCTACTAGAGGACGTTAGAGAGGGTGGCATAGTTACCCTCCAATATGCTGATGATATCATTTTATTTTCCAAATCAGAAGATTCTGTCTTGAAAAATTTTAAATGTATTTTGATGTGGTATGAAAAAATCTCGGGTATGAGAATTAACTTTCATAAAGGTGAAATGGTACCCATTAATCTGGAAGATGACGAAGTTCATAGATTAACCCATATTATCACCTGCCGTGTTGGAAAATTCCCAATTAAGTACTTAGGCATTCTTCTGCATTTTGATAATCTAACCAGAGAAGACATCCAGCCATTAGTTGACAAGATCATGAATAGGATTGTAGGCTGGACAGGTAGGCTGTTGTCCTTGGCTACTAGTGTGGTTTTAATTAAATCCTGCCTTTCTAGTATTCCTATGTATCTGTTGTCTTTTATTAAATTCCCCAAATGGGCTATAAAGATGTTAAACACCCATATGGGTAACTTTCTCTGGGATGATTCTGAAAAATAATCATAAGTACCATTTAGCCAATTGGGAGTTAGTCTCCATGTGTAAGGAGTATGGTGGTTTAGGGATTCCTAACCTAAGAGAGCTAAACATCTGTCTCTTAGCATCTTGGCTTAAAAGATATAACTCTGATAGGAACAAACTCTAGAAAGAGTTGATAGACTTTAAGTATGACACTTTGAACCCAAATGTGTTGCTCTCCAGAACTTAACGTTCCTCTAGTTTCTTTAAGGGTTTCATGTGGGCTATACAGGCTGCTAAGATGGGCTACTTTTTGGAAGGTTGGAAATGGTAGGAAAGTTAGATTTTGGGAAGATACCTGGCTAGGTTCTTCCCGTTTAGCTATTTAATTTTGGCCTATTTATAGAATTGTAATTGAACATGGTAAGACAATTGCAGATTTGTGGGAGGGCTCCAATCTGAGGTGCACCTTTAGGAGAAATCTGAGTGAAGATCTTTATTAGTCTTGGCTAGAAGTAGTCGAACTAATATCTACAATTCATCTTTCAGATGAGGAAGATGAAATGATCTGGAAATTCACTGCTAAGAGCATTTATTCTTCTCAATCTTTGTACAAAGTTATTAATTTTAGAGGCATCAAACCGGTGCATGTTTCAGCAGTTTGGGGCATTAAGATTCCTCCTAGAGTCCATATGTTCTTAAGGTTATTGATAAATAATAGAGTGCTGACTAGGGACAACTTAGCCAAAAGAAGAAAAGTTGATGATGAAACATGCCTTTTCTGTGCTGAGAAGTTTTTTGATTGTGCAGTTGCGTAGGTGTTGGGTAGTAATTTCTGAAATTATAGGAGTACAAGTAGGTGAAGATATAATCAGTATTGGAAAGTTGTGGTTAAGTAGTAAGTGAAATAGTTTGATAAATATGGTAGCTTTTGCTGTCCTTTGGTCTATCTGGAAACTCAGGAATCAGCTTTGTTTTCAGAGAACTGGATGGAAAAGCAAGGATGTGCTTATCTACAAAATTCATGGACTTCTTCAGAACTGGACAGTTCTGTGTCTGGTGGACAAAAGGAAGTTGCTAAGTGGTTTCCTGAGGAAGTTGAAGACTGCAGCAAGAATGGTGTCATGGCTCCCAGACATCCCCAGAGGCGCTGCCCCAAGCTCTTCAGAAGTGTGAATGCTGACGAGTCTGAAGGAGATGCACAGACGACTGAGAAGCACGCAATGATGCTGAATGCCCGGCCATCTCCTGGTGGAGGGAGCTGAACGAAGACTTCTTGAGCATGTAATAGGGGTGTTTAGTTTGGCTTTTGTGGTGATCGTTGTGCCTGAGAGTTAAAACTTTATCAGGTTCTTTTTTTGGTAGTTTCTGGGTTTTTTTTTTGTCCCGCTGCCGGATGGAGCTAGGTTTTATCTTGGACAAACTTGCGCTGTAACAAATATTTGGTCTTTTGATAATAACTAGCAAATATGTCTGTACGTTGCAATGGGCGAAGAAAAAAACGTCTGAAAACTATCAGACCTAATAGAAATTAAGGACCAAAATCTATCTATGTGTCTATACACCTAAAAAGACTCTCCAATGATGGTAACTTAAATAGAAATCCTAATTATGTTTTTTCTCCTGTCACAACTCCTGTTCTAGTATCTATTTTTTTCGCTCCCAGTGTGCCTCCGTCGGAGACTCCAAGGCATCCAACTGTGTCCGTTTCTTTTTTCCTTTTTTTTTTGTTTTTTCCCGTTCTAGTATCGTGTCTGTTTTTCTACGTAAGTTTTTGTTTCTTACAAGTTTAGTTTCGTTTCTCTTTTTTCATCTTATTGTTGTCTTCCCCTTTCTGTTTACTTTATTTGTTTTTTCCCACGTTGTGTTTCTTTTTTCCCTTTTTTTTCTCGCTTTGTTTTCGAAGTTGGATTGGTTTCGCAGGGAAAGAAAGAATAGGAAAACAAACAGCACCGCAAACGCACTCCTATTTGAACTCATTGACGGTAATTAACCTGGATAAAAAAAGTAATAGAACAAGGTGTACGAGTCCAGGTCACATACACGACCCAATACGTTTTGGAATCGGATTCTATGTCGCGCTAGACAAGAGCTATTCTAACTCATATGAGCACATGTTTATATAAGTCAGGACAGAAGAAACTCTCTATTGTGCGGTAGTTACAAGGAGACGGACAAAAAAAAAGGTGTACCTCTTTATTATTATATATATACTAGCAAATATGTCCGTGCATTGCAACAGGATTTATATCTCATTTGTTCTAATACACTTTAAAATCAGACTCCATACGTTGGTTGGGCATATGCTATCTAACTCACATGAGTATGGCTCGTGAGTTCGAGACAATTAAGTAATTAGAATTTTAATCTCTTACCCAAGAAAGATTGAATGACTTATAATTATCAATGGCGAGATTATTAGTATAGTGTTTTAATCATCGATCCTTGATAAATCCAATACTACCTATTTCAATTTTCAACGTGGCCCTCTCTTTGGAGAAAAAAAAAACAGAGAGATAAAGATATGAGATAGAATTCCCCCACTTTACCTCGTACATATATGAAAAATTACAATAAAATAGAATATAAAGTGCATATGAATTAATAAATAATTAGGCGTAAGAGATGTTTGTGCAACTTACAAATTATGCACATTTATACATAAAAATATGTTGTTTGTTCACAGTAACTCCAATAGCAGTAATAAATACAATCTTCATCAAAAGAAAATGAAAAATATATACAATATATAGATTTGAAACAAATGTATATTTCCCTACCAACAAAAAACAATGCTTAGCCAAGAACTGCAGGCACAGAATGTTTTTTTTTTTTTGAAACATGACAAGAATGATCAGTTGGGCTCAAAACGGTGAGGCAACACCTTTGACCTTAGGGTTGGTATGCAGCTCTCAATCCCCAGCGGTTCCATCTCCGTCGAAGCCCAGCCACTGTC